GGGGGGGGGGGGGGGGGGGGGGGGGGGGGGGAGAATACAGGGACGAAAAGGATGGGGCGGATAGATCGAAATGAGATGAACCGAGAAGTGCACTCACTTGCACGTCTTGTCTTTGCTACCGGGTAGCGGCGGATCACATGCAATCTTGCGGCCTCAACAGAAGAGGCAGGTGAGCGCTGGCCTCTTTTCCACGAGCTTGCATGCAGAAGGGTTCGGGCTCAGCCGGACCTTGGGGGAGTCCGAGCGTGAGCGCGAGCGATGCTTGACCCACGGTGTCATCCCAACATTACTTGGCGTTGGGGCAGGGCTCATGATATTGCCGTTCGTGTGTGGTGAGCGGTGCTCGCCAAAAAGAGAGCCCTGGTGCTCGAGGGGGGGAGAGAACGGGCAGCCTCGCGAGCGGGCGAGTACGACTGGAACTGAGTGTGCGAGATGGCAATGCCGGGAGGAGGAAGGAGGGAGTCCACGAGCAAGAGGCGTGTCGGAAATCTGGACTTTCGGTTGCAACCGAGGCCCTTGTGGTTAGGGTTAGAACCCAGTTGAAACCGGTAGCAACAGATTGTTATTGCTGCGGCACCGCCGGCGGCAACGTATAAGTGATCGTGATCAGTTGCAAGCAGTGTGTCAGCGCGTGTTTGGGCGTTCTGCTCGCTCCCGACACTGCTTCCCGTACTGTGCCCATCTCCTTGTATGTAACTCCATGTATAGCTCCCTCTTTACTGTACTCGCCCTATAAAATGTCGCATCTTGTCAACAAACCCCAAATTGCACCAACACCGGATGAAGATGGGAAGAAGGCCCATCAGGAAAATAACACGCCGCTTTTTTCACACTTAAAGTTACTTGTTCGAGACTAAGTGACTGATAAGCAGTAAAAAAGGAAGCACCAAAAAGCAGCAAACTAAGCAGGTCTCACCGCTTTTCCGAGCACTTATTCGTACTTAGGCGCACTCACGCGGTGCTTGAGAGATCAAATCAGCTTGTACAGCATACCACAGGTGTCAATTCAGTGTATATGAAGCGCTGATCAGCGCGTAAAAAGGCACAAAAAGTAGATCCAAATGAGTAACAGTGCGTATAGCAAGAGCTAAAACCCGATAAAAACCGATATGAAAGGTAATTTAAGGATGGAAAAAGGGTTTGAAGGTGAATTATAAAGAGGGGAAACAACTGAACTGAGTGGAGGATGGCATTGGCGCGTGAGCGTTGACACTAGGAAAGTGACAGCGGAGCGAAAGTCAGAGTCACAAGACGAGAAGCGATGAACAATGAATCAGACACGACGCACAATACAGAGATGGGAAAGCAGATACTGTCGACTGGGGCGTTAACCGGGGCGAATACCTTGGTAATGTCTCTAAAACAAACAGAGAGATGGTCAACACCGATACCGAGAGAGATAGAGATAATTACAGTTCATATCCAGATGCGCCCGTGGATCATCAACGTCTGATTCCTCATGCTCGTCCTCGTCCTCGCTGTCTTCGTCTTCGTCTTCGTCGTTGTCCTCCTTCCTAGCGTTGGGGGCATAGATAGCTGTTGCGTTGAAAGCCTCCAAAAGGAACAGCGCAGAAGCGCCTTTGACCGACTTCCAAAACATATCCGTGGACTTCTTGTAGTTCGCCTCTGAGAAGTTTAATAGGGAGGTTGAAGCCTTCCCCGTCCTCACGTTCACCTGCTTGCGGCCGCCGGCTCCTGCGAGAAGGGACTTGGCCTTGCTGACAGTGCTGTTCAGGCTGCCGCGGATCTCATGGTGCCTGGCAAGGCTGATGAGGACGTCGCTGATATCACCAAGCTTGTCTATAGAGGCAAGCCTGCACGCCCTTTCGCCCTATATAATGTTCAGCTCGTATCAAAGACAGAAATAAGAATGCATACCGCAGCGCAGCAAAGAGTCATCGCACCCCAAGGAGTATAAGGGGAGGGAAGCCGCAACTGGGGAACATCAACAGCGTTCCGGATGGCAGAATAGTGAGTTGCAAGAGTGACAAGATAAAGCTTGCCTCGGAATGTATGAAGCGGCTTGCCGTCAACGACATCCTCGTACAAGAAAGTGTTCTGGGCGAGCAGCCCCTTGGAGTAGAAAGTGCGCTGCTGCACTGCGTCGTCAGAGCCATACATACCCTGCTTGACAAATGAGGTACAGAGGGCGGCAATGGCAGTTGATCCAAAATTGCTGCGCCACTCGTTTGCCTTCTGCTTACACTATAGTAGAATGCTGTAGATCAGGGACTCGGAATTCGAATAGATACTGTGCACTCACAATAGCAAAGGCAGGTCCGCTAAACGTATCCTGCTCCAATGGCAGGTCCTCGTTATAGACAGCACGCCATATGTACCGGATGGCATCAAGGATCTTCATGTTTGTCGGGCCCCAGACGCTTATCTGGCATGCCAACCACTTGAGAAATGTGGCGATGAAGACCCTAGACCATTTATTGCCGTCATGACAGTACGCTGGCAGGAGACCCTTCTTGCGTGGTGCCGTGTTCTTGCGCTTCCTCTTCTCCTTTGATCCAGATGTATCACCGGCAATGACCTGAGGCCCAACCTCCTCCATCTTCATGCGCTTGGAAGGGCGAGCACCTGCCTCTGGTTCCTTCTTAAGGAGCATGGAGGAATGGACCTCGACATTAGTCTATGGAATCTGTTAGAGACGGCACGGGGAATTGTAGTAGAAGAAATTACTTTCCTTGTCCGTAGTTCGAGTCTTGATCTCCTTGATGTTGGTCTCAGGCTCCTGTTGATGAGATGAAGGACGTCAACATAGGAGATGGAAGCGGTAACTCACGGAATATATAGCATGGTCCAGATCCATCGGGGGCTGATCTACATCCATGTTGGAGACAATGTCCAACTGGTGGTCTGCGTCTGAGGAAATCAGGTCCTCGTGGATATCCATTACGTCTGAGTCGGTATCTTCGTCTTCATCACTATCAATAAGCTGGCACTTGGTAGATGACCTGTTGTTCGGAGGTGCTTGAGAAAATGGACGAGGACTTGCAGGGGGAGACGAGAAGGTAATGATCTGCAAGGAGAAGTGTCAGTGCGTGTGCATGCAACTAGATTACAAACAGGTTAGTGCAAGCAAACCTCTTCCGCTTTGGCTGTAGCAGCGGGCTGTTCACGAAAACTATCCTGCTCTCGTCGTAAGTCTTCCTCATTATCGTCTGAGAGTCCGGCATCACCCAGTTCATCGGCAGGGAAAGGCTTTGGAGCTTGATTCGCCTTGGTTGCCGCTGAGCTCACAAGGGTAGAAGACTTGGCACTAGTGACAACACCACGAGTGCGAGATGAAGTGGGTCAAGTACTACGTTCCAGCGGATCGATATCGACTCAGAGCCAACCTCCTCATCATGGAACACGATTCAAGCCCTACTCCCGACTCCCAGCATACACCTATCAATGAAACTAAAAGTGAAGCTGAGATACAAGCTAAGATAACAACCCTGTCAAAGAACTACAGCTCATTCGCGGCTTTGCAAGGTATCAAAAACCTCGTATGTGTCATCTCTTTGACGTGATCGGGTGATCTGACAAGTAATCCAGTTACCAAGCTTATGCTCAGACGTCTTCGTGCGTCCCTATCAGCACCGCGTATTTACATACCTGACTAACATCTGACTAGGATGCTGTCAACGCTCAGGAGATAGCGTCGGCACACACGGACCACAGTGTCGATGTCGGAGACGATGTAGCGAATGTTGACATCTTGCATCCAGTTATAGCACTGATGAAGAAAGATATAAAGGCAGTCTTAAAGGTTCTTTCCAAGCTCTCAAAAGCGCTGGATATCGGGACAGCTTCTCAATCCAGACGTCCCTCCCCCGCCCATCGTCTTCCTCCCGAACTCTAGTCCTACATATTCTTGCTTAGCTCCACTCTGCCTATCGACCCTCCTCCCTCAGGTCGTGCGCCCTACTTCCATCTCGATGAGAGGATGTACACCAACGAGACCGGCTACTCAAAACCCCGCAAACTCCTCATCCACCGCCGCGTCCCACTCCGGCCCATCCTCCATGGCCCGTGCCTCCGCAAGTGTCGTTGGTTCCCGGTATCCTGGGTTGTCCGTGGTCGACGATAACACAAACTCCTCCTCGTCCGTCGGAGGTGATATGAGTGGGTATGCGAGGTCGTGTTCTGCCGTGCGTATGGCTGTGAAAACTTTTCGGAATTTCTCCTCTTCCGCCTGGATTTTCTTGGCCGTCGGCTTTGATGTTCGTCCTGAGCGTCGAGGTTGGGTATCGTTCGTTCGAGTCGGTTCGTCGGCCTGAGGTTCTGGTGGGGTGGGTGTCTCGTCTGATGCGGTGCTTTCTGAGTCCGAGGCATCGTGCTCTCCCAGATGAACGCCTGGTCGGAAGGCGTGGTCGTCACTTTCGTGCGACTCAATGAACTGGACGTGGAAGGACGTTAGAACCTTCCCCGTAGAGCGATGAAAACACCTGTAAGCTTTCGAGTCCGGAGAATATCCTATGAGGACGCATTCGGTAGAACGCGCCCGTACCTTCGGGTTGTGTGTTTGGATGAGTACGAATGCTCGAGCGCCGATCTCCCGTAAGTGGGTTAGGTCGGGTTTCTTGCTGAACCATGCTTCGTAAGGCGTTTTCTTGGTGAGTGCTTTTGTTGGTGCGTGGACGGTCAGGTAGTTGGCCGTAAGGAGGAATTCGTCCCACATGTTCTCCGGGAGGTTGCACGCCAGGCGCATCGTACGGGCCTTGTTCATGAGGGTGAGGTGCAAGCGTTCGACTAAACCGTTTTGGGCTGATGTGTGAGGCGCTGTAAACTCTTGTCGCGTGCCCTGCGACGCGAGCCAGCCTGAGAGATCGTTTCGTTTCAGTTCGTCGTTGTCTGAGCAATAAACTCCGACGATTAGACCCGTCTCAAGTTCCCTAGCACGTTCCCAGTCCAGTAAAGCCTTATAGGCCGTGTCTTTCGTACGAAGAGGAATGCACCAAGAAAATCGTGTATAGTCATTGATGATGTCAAGCGCGTACAGGAAACCTCCTCGAGATGCTGTCCCTGATACGTCGAGAACGTCAACGTGTACCCGCCCTAGCTTCCGTTCGGCCCTGTCTCCTTCCCGCGTCGTAGGCACATGCGATCGCTTCTGCTTCCCAAGAATGCAATGATCGCATTTAGGCGGCAGTTGTGATAAATCGATGGGCATACCTGTCGCCATGCGGTCTCTAGCCAGGTCTAAGACAGCTTGGTGGTTTGTGTGTCCTAAGCGGCGGTGCCACGTAGAGATGGTGGGTAGACGAGCAGCAAAGAACGTGTGGTGAGCTGTGACCGCTGACGTGGTGAGACGGTAGAGTTTGTTTGTAGCAAGGTGCGCCGACATGACCCGGGCGCGGCTAGCATTGAGGACATGGCAGACAGAAGCGTCAAAGAGAACAGAGAAGCGCTTCGACAAGCAGAGTGAAGACACTGAGATCAAGCGGACAGACGCTTGTGGGACGTAGAGGACGTTGTCGAGATCAACGTGAAGACCCTTTCCCGTCAGGGGTAGCCGTAGTTCCTGACCAAATTGAGATGGATTGTGCCAGGATTAAGTTGACAAAAGTCGTGGCTCTCGAGAAGTAGGGTGCATTTGTGGATCATTGCACCATCCATGGAATGTGTGGGAACCCAGAGAAGATGGGCAACATGTGGTTCCTGAGCGGCCATAGTAGAGTCAACTTGTGGTTCTTGATTAGCCATAGTTGAGTCAAGCTGTGGCTCTTGTGGAACCACTGTCAGCCAGAAAGTGCGGATCCAACGGTGGGAATTTCCCAATGCAGGTGTGCACGTTGCCCTAGTCGGGTTATTCTGCAGATCATGAACGTGAGAAGGATTTGGCGTCGGCGAGCGGGCTACACCACCACCGATTGGCCAGTACAATATAGGAATCGCGACGTCAAACTTGAAAGAAAAAACATCCTTCCTCTGTGGCGGCAACATATACAGAGCCCCACAATTTACAAATGCAGCCACTGCCAGTGCGCTATTAATGGTGTCGCGTTAAAAACCGACAGGATCCAGCGGTTTGCCTCTTCGCGCTCCCCTCCCCCCCCCTTCCCCTGCTCGTGCCGCCGTCCAGGTCAATATCAGGTACGTGTTAAACCATTAATCCGATGTATGACAGGCCGCCTGACATAACGATAAAGCATGAGCGACCCCGAACCACGTCTCGGTGGCGAACCCGATCCAGCTCCCTTGTCAGGCGTCGAAAACGCCTCCGCCTCCACCACAGCGAACGGCGATGACGCGTCGGCTCTCAACGACGACTCCCCCAATTCCCCAGTGAGCGCGTTATTCCAATGCGATCCCAACGACCCTCTCCTCTATGTCGAAACCCTCAAGCGCCTGTGGGCGAAGAGCACGACGTTGGCGTTCTTGGAGGGACATCTCGAAGGATACCGCGTTGCGCGCTCACAGACATACACTCGCGCTCGCGACTATATCGACACGGTTACAAACGAGTACTTCGAGCGCGTACCCTGGCGGAACAAAGTCTCTGATCCCATTCCGGACGACTTCGACCCTGCAGTTGTTGAGAGCCTGACCGCGGTAGAGGAAGCTCAGAAGGCTTGCAAAATAGAGGCCATGAAATCAGTGCGCATCTCTTGTTCTCTTTCGCCTTTCCCCGCGCCTTACCAACTCCCCAACTCCCACAACAGTCGATTAAAAGCTGGCTTGACTACCGTATCGACACCAACAAGCTAGTAGGCCGCCCGGGCAGCAAAGAGAACGATGTTTGGTCACGTCTCCTCAAGCAGCTGTCTGGCGTCCCTCAGGTGAAGCCCAGAAAACTCTCCGCGTGTCAGTTCTGGTCCAAGGCCAACTACACGTCCGTTGTCAAGCCCGATTACGAAGCTCGCTGGGAGGCCGAGAAGGACAGCCTCGGAAGCAAGAACCGCTCCTCGTTCCGAGAGAAGATCACCGCTGAGCATTTCGGCAAACTTTCCGCCGACGATCAGCACTCTTGGGGACTCAAAGCGAAGGACGCTCACAGCCGAGAAGTCGCTCAGTGGAAAGCTGCGCTCGAAGCCCCCGTCGATACATCTCCTGAGGCACGACAGCGGTAAGCTCACCCGAATATGACATTGTGACATGCAATATTCTCATGACTGCATACAGCGCCATTGATCACGTACAGGTGTTCGTCTCCCCCATCCTCGATGAGATCTATGAGGTCACCGGGCTGCACGGCAGCCTTCTACTAGGAGGACCAGAACCTCGAAAGGGTGGTCGCATAAACATTATTTCGTACGTTCTCTCGGTTGATTGTATCTGCGTTCCTAACTCCGGCTCGCAGATTGCACTCGGGAAAAAACCTTGCTGCCGTTGGTCAGAAGTGGCCCGCCGCCAGCCCTGAGTCGTACAAGGCCGCGCTTGGCCATTTCCTGGGATTCGTGAACTCTTGCTATAGTAAGTCCTTCATCTATTCCGTCACAACGTCAAATAACTTAGATGTATGCAGCCACCCAAATGAAAGAGGCAGCCGCGCTCAAGAAAACTGACGAATCTACTACCAATCTAGATCCACGTCTCGCTGGTTTGATCCCTTTGGAGGGCAGTGACCAGAACGTTAACAACGACACCTGTCAACCTTCGGAAAACCTTCGTGCCCCCGTTCCTCCCGCTCCAGCCCCTTCTGATTTAGCAGCCGCAGGCCCAGCTTCGCAAGCTTCCCTTCCAGCCGCCACAGCGCCGCTACCTCGCACCCCCACGAGTGCTCCATCCGCGCCTGCTAGAAATAGCAATCATACTGCACCGCCGGCGATAGTGAGCAACGGAAACGCGGATCTTCTTCAAGATAAAGTCGCTCATAGGGTAATGGCAGCTGCCCACCCCCCTCATTCTCCCGCCTCTGCCCCCAAATCAGCCCTGACCAAGAAGGCCACCGCTCGCACGATGTCCTCGGCGGAAGATGTTGCTTCACCCGCACGTAAAGGGAAGCGCAAGCGTGGACGGCGTGCCAACAGCTCCGACGAAGACACGGCCACCGAGACCGATCTCGACGAGCGCAATGATAGCGGCGAGGACACTACACCCATTCAAAAGGTGTACAACACGCGTGGCCGTATCAGCGTCGCTCAGACGGATGAGGTCCCTTCCTCTCAGGCGTCAGAAGGCACGTCATACCCACTTTTCTCATTACCGCTTGCTGATACATGGGTAGTGTCCCTCGAAATTCCCTCAGAGAACCGGGTTGAGTAAGTGGTACACTCTACCTATACTACCACGTCTAATGTGCATCAATCCCGGTAGACCACGTCTGGATCGTCACTCCGGCAGGCAAGATTCCCGGCAGCGATCAGTAGAAAAGTGAGCCAAACCTCCTCCCTGTGCCACGTTATTACTGACTTCATGGCGTAGCCTTCCGAACAACACTGACGTGGGCCAATCGTCGGTCGTGCATGAACGGTGAGTCTTGGCAATATCAGTGATAACACCCCGCTGATATTATACTTAGAGCCGAACACCCCACGGAGGCGGTCGTCACCACCAATGACGGTAAGGTTTTTCATATTTTATGTGACGGGTATATTCACATCAAACCTGATCACCGCCATAGATCCTCGCGTCGGCATCGAAGGTCTCGCAAAGACGCGGCCCGAAAACCTCAATTTACTCGACAACGGTCCCCAGTGGATCCAGCACGCGCTGGAGTACCTCGCTGCACCCGATCTTCTTAGAGCGGAGGATCGGCGCAAGGTTCAAAAGGGCGAACCGGATGCGATCGGGGACAGGCAAGGCTGGACTCTTCCCAGCTCATACACCCGACTTCTCGAGGAGTATCTGCGCCTGGAGAGTTCATCGAGCTTTTCGTCGATCCAAGGACCAGCGGGCACGTTGGACGCCAAGGAACGCCCAGGGGAAGTGGCTTGGTGGATCGCGCGCAAGCGCGCACTATCTGTTCGCCCGTCGACCAAGAGCGTTGATGGGTACGCGCGGCAATGGTGGAAGTGGTGGACTCATCTTCAGCCTGAGTGGCGAAAGCTCTTGGCTCCCTCGGGAGACTCGTCTCCCGAGTCCCCCCTTTCTCGCCAGGATGGTGATTGGACTGCTCTTGACAGGCCCGGCATCAACGGATTTTATTCCGTGATCGTTGCTTTGAAATGGTGGGGCAGCGAGGTTCGCGGCGCGTCGAAAGACCGAAAATGGCTGGCTGCCGTCGACAATGTCCAATGGGTGATGAGCTGCGTAATCCGCTCTCGTGTCGGGTAAGTGTTTATCGTTTACCCTGTCATAGCTCGTCGCATACATTGATCTAATCCATTATCAGACGTCACGAAACAGCCAAAGAGGATCCGACCAGGCGGCCTGCGGCGAAGCGTCAACGCTTGACATGAGATCTGAGTCATGATATATACCAATTCTTGTAACTGCATCGCATACATTTTGACATTGATCACGTACATGTATTAGAATTGCCTCACTTATTGAACAAAGATGCTGTGCTTGTATCTAACTGTGCAAGTCGAACACGAATTCTCGGACGTCACTCATCGCCGAAAGTTCTAAATTATGCACCGGGGCGCACTATGTTTCTTTCGGATGGTCCGTCCCGTTACCTGCCGTATTGAATTCTTGCCGCTCACAACGATCAGGCCCTTCGATCAGAAATAATGGATTCGGAGCACCAAGCGAGAAGTTCGTAACCCGAACATGAGGCTTGAGGATCGCGGGGATAAGCCACAACTCTTCCGATTGGTCAATAACAAGCCCCTTAATTGAACTGTATTAAACGAGCTTCAATGATAGGTGAAGTACGACCCGAACATGTACGGTAGTTGCCGTCCAATTTTAGAGCCAGCCGCCTGATTGGAAGATACTGCGCCAACGACGAGCCTTAATGAAAAGAAGTGAGCTCCCCGAACACGTGTGATTCCGACTTCTATAATAATCCCTTTAATTGACAGATACTGTGCCCTACGAGCTTCCATGTCAGACCCGAAATGAATGGTACAGCGAAGTGTGGCTCTTTCAATATACTCGAATTTCAAGTGGTGTACTAATAAAGCATTATGTGGACCTGAGTCCATTGATATTTGTGATTTCGGACGTGGAGTATAGAAGACAAGAACTGGCCAGTGGTATTTGTCTGATGAGCAAAAATAATTCTACGTTGTCTATCTACGGCTCCGTCATGAACAAAAACAGTTCGAGTCCTGATGACTCGAACATGTCAACATTCCCGCCAATGACGTGATTCTGAACGTCTGAGATCATAGCAATGTACTTGGTGATCATGCAGCCGACGCTGTCTGCCTTGCTCCACTCATCCGACTGCGCGCCCGTTAGCTGGTACAGTGCATGCTGCACGCGGTGAATGTGCTCGTGAAAACTGTAAAGCTCGTTGATACCGTACTGAATATTCCCCCGAATCCTCTTCTCCCTTTTCTCAGAGTCCTTGGTCCCCGCCGCCTTGCAGAACCGGGCAAAGACGCTGCGTGACAGCGCAGACGGAGTCTTTCCCCTCGAAAACCTGTTAACCAGGCTTTCGATGTAAGAAACGGCCTCTAGGCAGCCTTCGACCGTCCAGCTGCCAACAAAAAAAGAACCAGCCGTTAGGTACTGTAAGGAAACGAATATACGAGACGTACAGACGAAAATGATCGTCTTCGCCGTCCGAATCCGAATCCGAGTCCGCCAAAGTAGCGGCGAGGCTAACTTGCTCGTCCACAAAAACAACGGGCCTCGGGGGCACATCGCTGCGACGTCTCGCGTTGCTCCTTTCCTGTATGTGAAGCACGATCTCCCTCTGTCTAGGGATATTGTTAGTCAGCCAAAGGAAAGAGTGCAGAAACAAATGAGCGTGTACGTACTCCAGGTAGACGTTGATGCGGTCTTTGAGTTTATCCGCCTCACGCTGAGCTCTGGCTGAGTCGACAGAGCGGGTGCGCAAGGCCTCGTCGTCGCTGAAGAAGTCTTCCTCACCGCGGGAGTTGGGGCTTTCGTGTTGCATGATGGGGTACAATAGCAAGGGATAAAATTTGGCCACAAGGGATAGAGTGCGCCTTAAATAAGGCCACCACCAACCAGGCGATTTAAGTAGGTGGCCTGCTTTTTGTAGCCTTTCTCAAATCCAGATTAGTCGAGGTTCATACCTGTACAAGTCAGCTGATGGTGTCGATATAGATCTCTGTGAACGTACCGTAGTTAGTGACCAAGGGTTAACAAAAAGGAAGAGCCGAGCCGTGAATGAACGTAGAAGAGATATAATAACATGAGACATCAATCGTCCCTTTAGAATGAAGTACATTCAGTAGGTAAGATGTACGTCACATTACCTGCAATCGTCCTCCTTCGACCGCATGTTAGTAGAAGTTTAGAACCAGTGAGTCCAAGCGTCTCACCACAGTACACCACACATGCGCTAAGGGTGGCCAGTACGCTCTTCGAAGCTCAACATTAGTATGTACCACACAACGAGTTTGCTGCAGTGCTCTCACCCAAGCGCGTTTGAGTACTAAAGAGGTGGTATTTGACAGCATTGTGCTATTCTAGATGTTTCACTGTGCCAAAGGGACAAGACCTGATACACGAGATAAAACATTAACCGTTAATATGACCGTGCAACCACGTTGATGTGAAGTTCATAGTTGTATCATATATCACCAAAGAGTATAACGGACTAGTACTCACTGAAATTAGGATCGCTTTCTGACGCCAACGCGAAGGCGCGTGCATTCATTACCGTGACGTAGTAGCTGTGATAGAACATGTCTGAGCCTCCAAGGTTAATGCACAATTAATGCACGGCGTAAACGAAATAAGCTCACTACTATGGCACCACCCAAGTCCCCATATGATTGTGCATCTATTTAGACCGCAGAACGGACAAAAATGAAGGTTCAGACGTGACTGATATTGGTCGCGTCATAGCTGATATTACGATGGATAAAGAACATCACTTGAACACCAACCTTATGCCTGGGTCTGAGCACTTAACACGAGTACACGAACGTACATCTGTCGATCCGTACATTCCAAAACGCCCAGTCCGGATCTAATAAATATACATCTCCACTCCATTCCGTTGCTGTATTTAAGACCGAAAATCTGAACCGCTTGTGCCCGTGTTGACACAGTGGGCTCGAATTCAAGTTAGCAGAATTACTGCAGTACGCTTGAAGGTATTTAGAACCAGAATACTTGTGTCGAGCCGTGCTGTCACTGAGCACTCTCTATCCGTGTAATGTTAACGTTCATCTCGATATATTGGTTTTGGCGGCTACTAGTAGTAAGTACGATTGAGATAAGTACATATCGATTAGCTCCTTCAATCTCAACGCTGATATTGGACTCAATGCAGACGCTTTCGACGATATCTAGCCGTGCTGTCACTCTACATCTATGTAATGTTAACGTTCATCTCGATATATTGGCGTTGGCGGCTACGAGTAGTAAGTATGATTGAGACATGTAAGTACATATCGATTAGCTCCTTTCAATCTCAACGCTGATATTTGACTGCTACGATTTGTTCTGACCGTTGAGATAATATGCCTTGTTCACCTTCTGAAGGGACATTTACTTGTTGCTATGTATGGATGGCCTATACCGACAGAAACATTGGAACCATATCGGTGGACGTTTCGTTCAGTCACAGCACGGAGACAACATCTATGTTCACCAGTTCAAGTTGTATTCAAGCATAAAAATTTGGAGCAAGAATCAAGTTTCTGATTTCGCAAGATAGTACATGCAATATGACGAATGACAAATTCAATACATGACAAATTTAATACGGCTTTCTCGACTGTTTATGCGATTACGGAAAGGCTACGAGTCCACTACCGCACGACACCAAAGCGACCTTCCAGCAGCGCGTTCTCCAGCGCGGCATGAGCTTCGTCCAGTGAGAACACCTCGTGCCCCTCCGAGCCGCGACCCGAACCCCACACGGTGTAGTATAGATGACTAGAATAACAGCATGAGCCTAGGTACGAATAATAAATAAGGCTAACTCACGGATTAGCAAAGACACCGATCGCGTATCCATAAGGTACCCAGTAGTAGGGCGGCTCAGCGTTTGCAGGAGCGTCATAGTAAGTTACCTCTACACTCGGCGTGAGATAGACAGTCCTCGTGGGCAACCCTGCGACTAACGATCCAAATGTGGGTTTGAGGTTGCGGTTGATGATCCCGTCCAGCGGGATAACGCCAAAGGGAAAGCGATCCTCATTTACAGAGCGAGCGTGGGTGTACTCGATGGTTCTCGTGCCGCGAGCAGACGTCACAGAAGACTGAGTTGGCAGATGAAGAAACTGGTGAGTCAATGAGCGAAAAGTTAGGGATAAACGCGAAGTAGTTACTCACAGCGGACGGGATCTCGCCCACACAGTTAAGGCGCGCGTAAGCAGAGTCATCTGCAGCGTCTCCCGTGTCATCGGCTGTGGTGTCAGCTCCGGCTTCCATGTGAGACGCGGCTCCCGACGCTGACCCTGCCGCGGCAAAACGAGCCCGAGCGAGCTGAAAGTGCCGGTGGAGCTCCATCGAAGCACAACGGTGAAAAAATCTAGATGAGACGTTGATGGTGTGAGCAATTACGGTTGATGGACAGGCAAAGGACAACAGACCTCGTAAACTCGTCGTTGTTCGGAAGGTTGAGAACCTCGGTGCAGATGCTCGCATGTACCATCTCCTGGAAGTCAAGCTTCCATTCGGCCTTTGTAATTAGGTCAGCCACGGTCTCAGAGACGAGGTTGACTAGATTCACTGTCAGCTGAGTGTTGAAGGTGGGATATGTAGCGTCTACTTACGACAACATTGGCCGACGCAGGCGGTAAGTACCTCGTTTGCGGTACCGTTCCCTTGCATGTGGATGTTGAAGTGGCCACAGGAGCAGTCGACCTGGTAGCCTTTCTTCTTGCTGAGGAAAGCATAGGCGTGGTAGGGGTTCGGGGGCGACGGAGGGTTGGCCGGGAACGGCGATGAGGTGACCGCGTCAGGACAGGTGTGAGACGAGAGAGGGGCTGCGGGTGCCACAGAGGGAGGAGGCGAGGCGGGAGACGAAGAAGGGACGACGCCGGTGGACAAGGGGAGAGACTCGGCGACGTCAGACGTCTCCGACAAAGAGGCGAGAGAGGGTGCGGGGGAGCGCGGATAAGGGGTTCGAGACATGGGGAGAAAAGAGGTGGGTGGGGGGTATGGGCGATTTGCGTGCATCTTTTATGTGCTGGGGCGAACTCCAGCGCCTGGCGGGAGTCATCGTAAACCATGGCGAAGGAGCTACCTAAATAGATTATGTATCTCAATGTAGGTAAATGAAAGGGCGGCCTCGGCCAGAAATAGATAACACGTGTTGGCACTTACATCGAAGCGTCCTTGATACGCTTGGAAAGAAGCCGTAGAAGCTCTCCAACCGCGGACAATCGGCCGTGCCACTGGAAGAAGTGACTTTGCCTTATCGAGCTTCAATTCTTTTCCTGGGTAGAATGCACGGTGGCCCCCGCCGAAAATATGGCCAAGTCTATGGCAAGGGCGTGATTGGGTCGGTAGCGTACACTGACCTGACTCGGACGCGATGCCTGCAGGTAGACGTCGAAAGGTAGTCGAAACATATAGCCTTCTCTCCGACGGCGACGATGATGACAAAGCGCTCAACAACACTGGTGCGCGAGCATTGGATCTCTCGCAGAATGGGAGACGCATCAAGACCCATTTTCACCGAGATCCCGACATACCGGGACCTAATTCGCCCATGAATGAGACGGAGCGCAGTCCCCAAGCGTCCACAGATGACTGGCAACCTTCGGTCGATGATTGGGAGATGCTTCCGGCAGGAGATGAGGACGGAATGTCAGAGCTTGCTGCGTCCCAAGAAAAAGCCAGTGATCATGTCGTTGTCACGGCTGTGCCAAGAAAGCACTACATATCTTCGGTTTGATCAATCTACCATGAGGAATGAGTCCATGCAGCTTACCTGGTGCTACAGGACAAACCACTCATTGCATGGGTCGGACACGGCGATCGGAAAGGATATCGGGACGAATACCTAAGCGAGGATATACGAATGGAGGGTCGCGGACAAGCTGCAGCGTATCCGTGCGCCTGCAAGAGCGGTAATTCGAGAGAGTACCGTTGCGAAAGCTGCGGAGGGCGTCAAATGACATGCAAGGAGTGCTGCGTAACCGCCCATCAACACACGTCACTGCACTTCATCCAGGTATTTAATAATCTGTACGCGCGACAGTGAGTGAACGAATTTCTAACTGTGCCTTTGAGCAGAAATGGAACGGGTCGTTTTTCGAGCGCGTTTCTCTGAAGTCTCTCGGTCTCAGAGTTTCTATGAGCCACGAGGACGGTTCCAGATGTGTACTTCGGCAGCCTGGACATGCAGAGTTCGTCGTCATTCATACGAACGGAATCCACCATGTCTCCATCGATTTCTGCGGCTGTGATAAGAAAATTCCTTACCGGCAGCAGCTACTACGGTATGGATGGCACCCTTCAACCATCGATACACCGGAAACAGCATGTACGAAAGAGGCTCTGGCTCAATATTCTGCCCTCATGTCACGAACCAAAGTGTCGGCGCACGGATACTATCAGGCGCTCGAGACGCTATCAGATCCTCTTGGTCTTGATGTCCCAACGGTGAGTTTATTTTGTCGTATAGCTGATCGTACTGACGTGATCCCAAAGAGTCATTATAAAGCATTTCTCCGCATCATACGCCAGTATGAGTACATCCGTATCATGAAAGAGGCGGGACGCGGTAATGTTATCAATGGGATAGATACAACCCGCGCCGGCGAGCTTGCTGTAGCCTGTCCTGCCTGTCCCCATCCCGGGATCAATCTTCCGGAAGGATGGGAGAACGCCGATTTGTCTCAAAAGTGAGCACTGCTCGCTTGTCTCACCGTTAATCTAGCACTAACGCATGCTAGATTTTTGTACTGTCTTTTCCTTGCGATGGACGCCAACTTTCGGCTTGAAAGCCGTGATCGGGGCCGATCAGTCTCGGACACAGAGCTGCTCGATGGCCTGGCGTACTTCGTGAAGACAGAGCCGTACATGAAACATGTTCGACAATACGAAAAACAGAAAGACGTGCGTAAAAGCTGACTTGTCAGCGCTCCTTGTTACGTTCTCTAATACTGGCAATCCACACTGGCAGACTTCATCGTGTAGTAGCTTTCGTGCGATATCGACCGTAAACAGCAAGAGTGCCAAAGGACTGCAAGCCACCGGCGTCGGGATGGTTATGTGTGCTCGCCACGAATTTATCATGCCTTTGGGTGTTGGCGATTTACAAGGAGGCGAACGGTATGTGCATAGTATATCTCATGAGTGTCGACCTGACCATTGAATTTAGTAACTGCAACATAGATTATCTGTTCTTCTCGGTGTATGCACCACTCATCCTCCTCCTCGTCGTAATATCGTACGATATCGCTTGCCAGTGGAAAATCAATCTATTCAAACGGATGGACACCCTACCGCCTCAGTTGCAGGTGTCACTACTGGCAGTCGCTCATATTCTGATGTTTGGTGTTCCTAAGTTTCACGCTCCCGGCCATAACGAGAGATGTGCTATGCAGCACTCTCTCAACCTGATGAAGGGCGTCGGACGTACCGATGGCGAGGGCATCGAACGTGGATGGGCCAAATTTAATCTCGCTAGCAACAGCACCAAGGAGATGACGTTGGGATTTCGTCACGATACGCTGAACCTCTTATTTACCTGGCATAACCTGCGAAAGTTCTACAACATGGGCACGACTCTCCAGCGTCGACTACTTCTAGCGGTCGAAGCCCATGCAGCTCATAGAGACGCTCTACTTGTCTTCGACGACTCGATCAGTGCATCTGTACGCGACGCTTGGAACACGATGAAGGTCGCTTGGGAAAGCGACAAGAAAAAGCCAAACCCTTACAGCGCCACTCGAAAGAGTAAGTACATCCTGAAATCAATACTTAGCCGCTGACTGACTCTACTCGCCAGGTATTTCAGAAGTTGATGTTCGCGCGCAGCTCACAGAGGCAGAGAAACATATACCATTTTTGCCACATGACATTTCCCCCAGTATTTTCGTCAAATTGGCCATAGATCTCGAAGAAAAACAGTACGTGCATGACATTGAGTTTGATTGACATACTGAGGCTAAACCTTAGACGTCGCATCCGCACGGATGTACGACGCGTCAAAGAGTTGACGGCGGAAGAACGTGCTCAGCTGGAGCAGCGTCGTTCAAATCTACATCGTGATGTTGTCAAATTCCGCGAAATACAGATTATCTACATGCCCGGCATCAACGCACTAATGGCTACAAAGGATAACAATGCAGACACCAAAGTGGAAGACGAGAAACTGTGGCTCGCATCCGAATTGGACGAAACAGAACGAAAAATATGTACTCACAACGTCGATCAAGTCGAATTGAAGCTCCGAGAAGCGCAGTGCCATTCTACGCTCGATAAGATCCGCGGGATGGTGCAAACGAGGTATCATTTTACCACGTACCGTAACCTCAACATACGGGGACAGAGGGAAACCACCCGAGCGTACAAGCTTGTCCACGACTATAACCGTAGAATCGACGCCGAGAAAATCAAGTACCAGGAGGCATACAAGGCGTTGCTTGCTCTGAGTGGTCCAAATGGGCCGGCGCGGGGATTGCAGACGCTCACGACCAATGACATTCGGGCGCTTTGTGAACCCCTGATCCAAGCTGACACGCCCAGACGACGACAGCGAGATATGCAGAAAGGTCTAGGCGAGGGGTACCGTACAGTATCCTGGATATGGACGACGCGAGGACCCATTGACCCGGACTGGGAAAGCGGCCAGGAATCAGATGAAGGTATTGTGTTTCAATATCAGACAAAAAAGAACGAACCAAACTCACTGTAGTGACGGCCAGACCTGCGAATTGAATGGCTCAAAGCCTGCGCGCGGAAAACCCGATGGGAGGAAGAGGTCGCCTTGTTGAAGGAGGAGATGCGGCGTGTGCGTGCGTTTCTCGAGTACAGGGCGGGCTGGTGGGAGAGCCACGCGATGCTCGGGTCGCCAGATGCAGACGCAGTGGGATTAAGCCCTGGATTGGCTCCATCGACCGGTGATGGCGCAACGACAACACCCGGCGCTGCTCCAGACGTTGCACCCATACGTACCGGCGGAAACAAGGGGGTGTTGTCCCGACAAGCAATCGCGGAAGGCGTGCGTGCGCACGCACTGCGTCAAGCGCACCAGCAGCGTCGATTGCAGGCCGAGTTCACACGGCTGTGGGAGCGGAAGTGGTCGGTGGAGGAGGCAGAGGCCCTTCAGAACCGCGGTGAGCATCCTGATATTGATTGGGGAGTGGGGGGAGAGGAATGGGAACCAGCGGAGGCAGCACTGGAGGCGAGCGACGCGGGGGGAGAAGGGCCAGGGGCCACCGTTGATAGGCCAGCCAATCCTTAATTAAAATGCTTAGTCAGGAAAATGACATGTGAATAGACTCACACTACAGGCAAATGCGATAATTCTGGACCCGAAAATAAGGAGGAAAATGCACTGGAAAGTAAATATTTTCCTCCATATTTCCCTTTGACCAATAGAGGCCGAAAAAGTTTCATGTTCCAGTGAATTTTCAGGCGACAAAATCAAGCTTACCTTCCATTTATAAACATTAAGCGCTGGCGGAGATTCAACTCCTGCTTCAACCTGCCTTTTTGGGCCTCTTTGCGCACCAGAAAATGATAACTTTCCGCGTGCTTATTCCTAGCCCGAAAATCTGTAGGAAGATGTTTACTTTCCAGGTCATTTTCCTGCTTATTCTCGGGCACAGAATTAGCACATTTGCCTGTAGTGTCACATATGCAGTTCGGGAATGTATGACAGCGGGACAGCGGGACTCCAATACACTGCCGACTTTCGCCGGTTTGTGAGAATCACTTGCCAAAGTGAGCGTGTGGATAAAACCACCAACTCCTGTGTGCTCATTCCAGTATACTGCCGGCTTTACCCGGATTGTGAGAATCACCAGCCACAGTAAGCGTGTGGATAAAAGCACCACTCCGGCTGTGGCAGGGGACTCATAAGCCACAATGTTTGTCAGGCTAATTCTGGCATGAACCATGATATTAGGGTCTAATCGTCTGCTACTGGTGTTCCCGTGGAAAGGCGTACAGTGCCAATGCCCAAGGCGAAGATCGACGAACCGTTAACACCATGTATCGGGCGCGGGTCGACGGGCGAGAAGGTGTAGAAGTCCTTGATGCAGCTGGTGACGTGCGTGGAGGCTCCCGAGTCAAGATAGAATGGTACCTTGTCGGGGTTGACAACCGTCGGACGAGACTGTTGTAAGGGCGTTGTGGAGATCGCGGATAGGACATTGGCGCGGAGACATGATCGCCAGTTCAGGTTTGTCCGCAGAGGCGTCGTCGACAGGAAGAACGTCTGGTACTCCTCGAGGTTGGCGTCACCGTCGATGTCTCGGATCTGCGCGTGCGTCAGAGTATCAGTTGCGAGACCCGCAAACTCTGGTTGAGCTTCTTCGGTGGCCGCCGCGACCATAGGTGTAGTCGTGTAAATCTTGCCCGTCGTCGAGTCGAGTAGCACAGATTGGCCATTCATATCTACAGGGACATAGTGGCGTGTCTCGACGTTGGTCGTGGGTTTCGCTACTGGTGGCTTGAAGCTCTGTGCCGGTGCGTTGGTGCTGGACGATTGGCCACCTCTCGCCTTCCGTAGTGCCTCTAACACCTCCTCCCGACGTCCGGCCATCTTCCCCCCCGGCGCCCAGCAGTTCTCTGTCAGATGCGGCTTTTTGCAGTTACCACAGCCGGTAGGCCCAGCGTACTTGCCTGTCATCGTGGCCATCGCGACTGCGCCACCGTCCAAGTCGATCGCTGCCTGCTCTACATCGAGGCGTTGCAGTACCGAGTTGGAGTCGAAGTGCCCTCCGTGTCGTGCGGAGTTCATCTGAGTGGCGACTTCGTTCCGGATGGTGGGGTATTCGCGGCCGAGGGCATGCATCAGACCGATAGAGAACAGCTGGTCTTCGGACGGTGGGCCCATGGCGAAGATTTGGTGGGACATGTCGCGAAGACATTTCGTGGTGGTTTCGAAACGCTCGGCCCTGGAGAAGTGCGTGTCGAAGAACCGTTGGTACAGGCGAACCATGTAGATGGGTCCGAGCTCTTCGTGACGGCCCTTCAGCATGTGGAACGCTTCAAAGGCAGTCTTCGCCGGCGCGATGTGATCGCGTTCGTCGGAGGTACACTTCTCCCGGATCAGTGCCAGGATGACGTTGTTGGCCTTTATCCACTCTGTCGCACCGTCGTAGTTTTCGGCGGGGTTAGGCATTGTCAGCCAGCCTTCGATGAATCCGACCATCATGTGACTATGGACAAAACTGACAATACGCTCGCTCCACGTCAACCAGTTCCCAGCGGCTCGACTCAATTCAGGTATGTGTTTTGCGTTATGAAGCTCGAGTTTCGTTGCCTGAATCTTGTCGGGGCGTGGGGGTAGGAATAACATCTCCTCCCGGCCTATCGACACGGCGTGGTACTGCGAAGGGTTTGTGACGCGATCGGTCCCCCGAGGTAGAGCGGATGCGTGAGCATAAGCCGTGGGTGTTCGTGCCGCAGGGGAGCTGGGAGGGGAGACCCTGTGAGCCGTCGTCTGGTTCTGACCGTACTGCCGATGAAGTATCTCGTAGAGGGCTTCTGGCGACATGTGTGCTGTCTGAGGAGCGGCCGGCGCAGAGGTGGAATGACGGGTAGGTGTTCGTGAACGCGAGCTAGCCCGAGATGCGGAGTCAGCCCGAGGTGAACGGCGAGTGGGTGTGCGCGAGCGTGAACTAGCCCGAGATGCGGAGTCAGTTCGAGACGAGTGATGGGCAGGGGTACGTGAGCGTGAGCTAGCTCGAGATTCCACCCGAGAGGAAGCGCGGCTGCTAGATACCACTGAGTGTGAGCGGGGAGCTCGGCCTGTCCGAGACACGTTCTGAGCCCTCAGCATCTCCAGGATCTGGTCTAGAGTAGCCCCCGACTGTGGTTGAGGTGCCACGATCTGAGGTGCCGGCGCCACTACTTGTGGCGTCAGGTCACGGGGCCGATGAGACAGTGGGTCGTATCCTACTTGGTTTCCCTGGGTCCCATCCTTCCTGTAGCGATCGGGTGAGAAAGGGTCCTCAGCGCCTGCAAGCGCGGCGAACGTGTTGTCGGCTGCGCCGTAACCATTTCGCTCGGGATGTGTGAAGAGGGAGGTGAATGGTATGAAGGGTTCGGTTGGAGTAGGCAGACGTGGATTAGGTGGCATAAGGAGAGTTTCCTCCTCGACCGGTGTCAAGGAGGGGCGGGGTGGGACCTGTGGGGCATATCTGGGACGGTAGGTGTTCACGAACGCATCCGGGTCGTGTGACGGTGACCGGAGAGGAGATATGAGGGTGTGGTTGTGCTCGTCTGCGACGCCGGGAGAGAAGCTACCGTACAGCTGTGTGATCTGTTCGATCTCATCCTCAGCGGCGTCCATGAGACTCGCTATCGACTGCATATGGGGAAGAGGGTGGGTGACCCGAGTACTACGTGTTGCGTTCAAGGAGCTTCCGGGCACTGGAAGCGCATAGGCTCATAACCTGTGAGAAACTGATGTATATAAGTATTGATCCCCAAGACGCTGTAGTACTAGCGGATGGTAATCTACCTGATGTATATAAGTATTGATCTAGGGAGGAGTCGTGAGTATGGTTCCCTAGACCTTAGGTGATATGAGCTTACCCCCAAGACGCTGTAGTACTAGCGGATGGGGGCAACTCGACGTCGGGCGCTCCGTTGATATACCTCTGCATTCCTTTCTCTGCTTCTCTTCCTCGTCCTTCTCTCTTGCTCCGCCGACTCTGCTTCTCTTCTCCCGCTCCGTCTTCTCTCCTCGGTCCAGTCCCCGTCTCTTCTCCCGTTCCTCGATCCGTCCCCTCATCCCTCGATCCGTTCCCGAAGCGGTGAATACTCGAATCCCGACACGAACGTCACACACCTACCCGTGCACCCTGCCTGCAGCCAGGTGAGAGGCGTTCAAACGTTCACGCAGTGCATCCACTCCTGGTATCTCTGCCGGACTTTTTCCCATGGATCACGCAATTCGAGAATCTGACCCATCCCTACCTTGAGGACCTTGGACTTGGCGACTCGACTGCCTTACCTGACTCATGCATCCCCTTTGACACTCTCCGACGTCTAACACACCTTCACATCCACACGGCTTACACTTCCGAGGTAGATGCCATCCTCATGGCACTTCCCACGTGGGATAATCTCATCTCGCTCACAATCGATATGAAAGACAATGACTTCTCTTTTGATGCTCTGGACCAGATATTTACCCAGGCTCCCAACCTTGTAGAGCTATGGATTTCGGAGGACGTCATTGAGAGTACAGGTTGGCAGCCTGCTCGGATCGCGTCTAAAAAATTGCGGTTATTCTCACTTGTGGTGGATCCTTATTGGATTAACGAGGCCCCCGAACAGTTCGATATTGGACCTGTCTTCGATTCCCTTATGTTCCCCGCCCTATCTGACCTTGTCGTCACCATCCCTATGGATGGAAATCTCGACTTCTTGCGGCACTTCATAGCTCGCTCAGGGTGCCGGTTGTCTAGTCTCACATTCACCGAGATTTTCGATGAAGCTTTCGGCGACCCAGAGTCAAGCTTGATTCGTCGCGCCGGTGTTAACCTCGCGGAAGAATATGGCATTCCGTCTGTAGAGTTCACATACGATCTGGACGAAACGCGGATTTATCAGAAGGCAAAGGACAGGTGGTACTGCATGGATGATCAGGCTTGAACGCTCATCCCGACGGGTGTACGTTGGTGGATACACGTTCAATCTACGAGTATCTTGTACTCATTAGTTCTAGAATTCATTGCTGCTGATGACTGAGTTTGTCACAAATCTTATTATACAAGGAACGGCGAAGAAAAAGATGAAATTGCTTGCGGATACACCGCAAGCAAGTAAACAGCGGACGTGAGGGTGGAAGCAGTCTACACATATCTAAGTTCGAGATCGAACGTGGAATAATGAAAAACTTACCGTATCGCGTCCCACAATCATGATGTTCAGGACCTCATCCCTAAGCACGACTCGGTCTGCCAATTGTCAACACCAACCTGGAAGCGGCAAAAGTGAGCGTAACTTTGGTGAGTCTCACCCAATGATCCAGCAATGTCTCGTCTTCTCGCGCTTCCTTAGGCTCTTCAAAGCCATCATGAGTACACCGCTTCTCTATTGCCTCAGCAATGATTAGCTCCAAGAACTAATTGACGGATTTCAAGGGCTCTTCCGCCGTCCGAATCCGTTGCTTCTACCTTAAATATCCGTCAAAATCAGCGGATATCTTGTCTTAGGTTATATCGCCACGTTCATGAGAGCTTCGAAGACCAGTGTGTTGCGCATGGCCCCTTACCGTGAGGGTAGAACCACAGAGCGAACGAGGTAGGCTGATGATAGAGGAACGGGGGTCTTCATAGGGGTGGTGGTACTTGGCTGACGTCGAGAGGATATGGTCAGAATGGGCTCACCAACCCAATTAACACATAGCAGAGATGCAACACGATAGATCAACGGGTGCTTGATAATCATTTTGGTACGTGCAGTGGTTAGAGTGCGCAAACACCCTGGGATGCCGACGGACTGACATTAACGCATCGGATGCGAGCTGATGCAAGTAGTCGTGAGTCCATCGGGGGAAAAGGCACAGCATCCTTAGCCACGGAGGTGGTAGCAAAGTTTCAGAGACATCTGAGAAAGGGCATGGGTCGAAACGTGTACGCTGCGGACTGAGGCACGAGCGCACGAGAACTTGGCATCGCCGTTGCTGGGGACCGTAGGTAGAGGTTACGGAGGTGGGGCCAGATTGATGCTTTGGGAGCTTGCAGGGGAAATGACACCGAAAAGATTGGTCACAGAAGATGTTCTGGAGATAGGCAAACATACGAGAGAGCTTAGAGTGGAATCGTGCGTCTTCGTCAGAGGTTGGTCAGAGGACATGGGACAGAAGGCAACAGCGACAGTGCAAGAGTTGATTGGATCTCCGAACGGCATTGGCCGGAACATGCCCAATGTCGATGTCAGGACTCGAGAAACCTTGTCCCGGACCAACATGTCGAATAAATTCAATCTAGTAAGATCACCTGGGCTCAAGAAGACGAACAGAAACACATCATCGGCACCAAAGTTTATCGCTTAATCAGTAATGGTATCTAGTGAATCAATACGAAGGATATTAAGCATCGTCGCTCGGCGATGATGCTTACAACAACAGCGACGTCGTAGTAATTGCTGCGACGCCGGCGACAAGAACACCCACGCCGGCAGACCTGCGATCTCCCCCATTTCTCTTCGATAGCACGATGTCGCTCGCCGCACTTCCAGAGGGTATGTTGCGGAGCGGCTTGGTGGGGAGCATAATGGGCGTCGTCGACACCTGGTACTGCTCCGGCAGTGGCTCCCCATTGTACTGGTACATCTGAAGAATATACGTGTTCGTGTTTGAATTTGGCAGCGTGCCTTGCGAAATGCCCCAGGACGTGTAGAGTTCGGTGTCGTTGTAGTCCTGGATGAAGTTCGAGAGGGCCCCGCATGCTTCCTCGACTTGCATGTAGCCGTCGCCGAAGGGAATGCCGGTGATCGAGCCGTTGGGTTGCAGTGTGTATGTACCGTGTGCCCACATCATAACACCGGAGATGCAGTTGGGGTTTGAGGCTAGGTGAGATCAACGCTTTAGAGATCACAAGCTACAAGAGAGATGCTGCTCACCGTTGCCGCTCATGCGATACTGGGCGAGCTCATAGTACCCATCTTCCGTGCTACAGCCCAATGAGACGTTCGGATCAGCGAGAGACTGTTAACTAAGGGCACTTGCAATGAATATGATACGCCCGTCGTTGGTGGATAGTGAAACGACACGTTGCTGGGAGACGCAAACCCCTACAAGCCAGTCCCACGTAAGTCCCCTGCGAAGACCTTCGCAGTGCTACCAGGAGGTAAAAACGCACCGAGCCAGTTACGACGTTCATGCTGCCCGACGACCATGTCCCGTAGATGGTCGTGATATTATGGGTTGGTGTGTATTGGATGGGATCTGAGTCACTCTGGCCAAGCACACCGGCCAAGAGAAAGAGACTGGAAAGTGAAAGTGTTAGTGAGCTTTTCATCGGGGCGAGTGACGAGGGGGAACCAGGCGCACGGTACAGTTAAAGTAGGCAACAGTCATCGCTGTTCTATCAATATCAGGGTGCCAGGCAGCGGGCTGCCAGCACGATGTGGGACACGCTTGGACTCGGCGAAGAGAGCCCGCTCGGGAATGGCCAATGGTGAGAGCGCAAGGAGTCTTCGTTAGGAAGCCGACGGCAGATGAACTTTGAGTTGAATCCGGGTTTCTCAGGACAAGATGCTGGGCACTGCCTAGATCATTAATGAGGTCGTCAACGGCGCTACGATGGTGGCGATTAGTATCAGAATGTGATGGTTTCTGCCAAATGTCGACTCAATCCTGTGTGCCTCTGAGCTTCAGCCCTGCAATGAGAGGCTCTGGTGCGGTGGGGAGGTCCGGACCGGCACCTCAAAGAACGGATCGCGGTGCCTTAGTTTAAGGCGGGCATTTTCAGCGTCGTGTCTTCACACATCTACCACGTTAGAAGTACACCTTTAACACGAGGTATCCGTTTCTGGATCTCGCAGCTAAGTGAAGAGCTACTGATGCCTATCATTCCCAGTTGATCTGTCTGAGCGCATGTCAAAGTTTGTTATCGGCATACCGCTTCACCTATATCGACAAGGGGCCGGACAGATTGCAACAGAAAATGTGTTTGGGTATCTTTAAGAATCTACCATGGTCTTTCTCCTTGAAAGTGTACATGTTACCGCATCGCTCTCAGTAAAGAAGCCCTCCAACCTGACCTTGATATCTCGAAGTCTGAGGTGCATGGCCCAGGAAATCAAGCCACATCCAGGAAGCGTACAATTACCTGGGATTACGCCATGGTAGTGTCGTTGCCAAACATTAATGCACAGCGGGAGCGTATTCATCACCATAACCTTCAAAACTGATGACCGGGAGGCGGGGTGGATTACAGAGCCTCGGGGAACTTGGTTCCGTTGATAAACGCGGGTGCTTCTAGTATTGCATGAGCTCGAACAGCCTCGAGCTATAAACGTTACAATCGTTGCTACAGGTCAGATCTTCAGTCATCGTTATCGTAACCGTCGACTCCCTATCGACACATCCTCCGACACAGAGTCCGGCGGAAAAACCGCACTAAAATGCATACTCGGCGCGATATCCGCCAGCTGCTGCTGCTCCCTCCGATCGCTCCTGTCTCTCGCGAACCCGACGCGCGCGTTGTTCAGCATGAACGAGATGCCCGCGACGATCGCGTGGCAGTCTGTTCCCATCGCGTTCAGGTTGGAGCCGGCGGCGTATACGATGAAGTAGAAGATCGTCCATATCCTGTGTGTGGTGGTGGATGCGGTCTTGTTTCAGCTGTGTGATGCGCAGAGGGGATGGTCAGTGGATGGAGGCGTACGCGTATATGGCGGAGCTCTCGATGAATGTGTGGACGGCGTAGACCGACTGCATTGGGACGTATGTGGATCACCAGGTCAGTAAAATAAGCAGGAATGTGATATTGAGAGAGTCGCGTACGTTTTCGCCAATGCTTCCTGCTTTAACGGTGTCCCTTTTGGTGCTCCATATTCTGTAGACGATCATGGCTTGGGAGAGGCAGAGCCATCGTCAGCATTCTGCTGTGTTTGAGTGCGGAATGAAACTGTAAGACGAACTTGTGCAGTAGACGTTTGTACTGCAACTCGGTGTTCAATATGGCATGCAGGGGGCGGTTCGAGGATAGCTATACGAGGGCTTACGTTAATATAAAAGAACAGACCGCCAGAATCCACCGAGCGACGACTGGGTCGAACTCGTTCCCCGCGATGCTCGCGGAGGCAAACTCGTACGTCTGAAATCCACCGGTGACTGCATTCTTGGATCGTCACCCAAATTCAGAGTGAGAGCGCTGTAGGAGACGGACCGATGAGACCGACGAGCGACATGCACGGTAAGACGATCACGAGAAAGTGCCGGTTCCAGACCATCCAGAGCCTGTATATCTTTGGTTTTTGAGCCATCAGCATCCCTTTGAACATCTGCTCCACTGCATGGATAAAGCGACTCACCAGGATAGCGTCGACTGTGATCAACGTAGCGAGCAGGAACGCCGTCTGTGCGCCCTCGGCGCGCTCCCCCGCATGCGTGTAGTAGCCCATCGGATTCGTGCCGCCCTCGTAGATCGCGAACGCGTGGAAGAAGATGTATATCGTCATGATCCAGTGCTACGCATCACAGCATCCGCATTAGCTCATGCGACTATCCAGGTTAGCTTAAAACCCCAGGGCACATCGCGCCTCCATCACCACCCCAATCACACTTGGGGCAGTGCTCAGTGGAGACCCTACTCACCCCAGTGACGAACGTGAATATGCACCCCGACGCAACGAGCAGCAGGCCCAGCCGTTTCTCCGTCTTGCGGGACTGCAGGTCGCCGTGCGCGGTCTCGCGGCGGCGCGAGAGGAGGTAGTACGTCGACGCGATCGAGAGGAGGAAGAAGATGCCCCAGAGCGCGCTCGTGAGCGCGAGCGAGGCGATGACGGTGTTCGTCAGCGGGATTGGTGCCATCGCCCTCCAGCGTACCGGTGAGCCCCCGCGTAGGGATGAGCTGAGGTGGAGGGGGGAGGGAGGGCAGAGAAGAGCGCTGTGCGCGGCCTGCCGCGAGTGTTTATGAACTAAAAACAAGGCGTCTGCGAAGACGCCATATCCGCCGGCGCCTAGGTGCCGGACACGAGGCGGCCCTTGCTTGCGAGTTTGGATTGAGGGAACGTTCCGAAGCCTAATCGACATCAGCGGTACCTTTCATGTTCGGGGGAAAAGGCAGAGCCGCCGAGCGCTTGACAATGCGTATATGATGTCCCATGATAGGCGCTATTGCTGATTGTAAGAGATGTCCTATCGCGGGTACTCTCCTAGCAGACCTTGACACGTGCTCAGACAGAGGCTTCGCGCCTCACGAAGGGAGGCTTCGCTATACAACGGAGGAGCTTTGAGACTGAGATGGGACAAAAGAACGGCGAAGCTCGGTGACCACGTTGATTCTGTCGTTGAACGGGATGTTAATCCACGGGCTGTACACGCGGAACATGCCGAAGTGGCAGTGCCGGCGCTTAACGATTTACGATCAGCGTACAGTTCTAGAGTACATTCAACCTCTCGCCAACGCATCCCCCGACAAACACACGCATTAATCCAGAAATATTTCCTCAACACCTACACACTACTGCCCCCGCCCACCGTACCCGCCGAAATCGCCGTCAACCCAAACCCCTGCGCGCTCCCAGGCTCCCACCCCCGCTCGTGCCCGTGCCCCCAGCGCTCGCCCTCGCGCTCCTCGCTCCGCGCGTTCGCGAACCCGACGCGCGCGTTGTTGAGCATGAACGAGACGCCCGCGACGACCGCGTGGCAGTCTGTGCCCGGCGCGGAGAGGTTCGACCCGGCTGCGTAGACGATGAAGTAGAAGATGGTCCATAGTCTGAGGATGGGGTTGGGATTAGTGGTGTGGTGCGGTGCGGTGCGATGTGAGGGCAGAAGACGTACGCGTAGAGGGCTGCGCTTTCGATGAATACGTGCAGTGCGTAGAGGGACTAGATCGCGAGAGGGGAAGAAGGGGATGGTTAGGTTAGGTATGTGAAAGTGAGAAGAGAGAGGGAGAGAGAATCGAGCGCGTACGTTCTCGCCGATGCTGCCAGCTTGAACCGTGTCCCTTTTAGTGCGCCATACGCGCCACACTATCATAGCTTGTGAACCGTGCAACTACGCATGAGATTTTGTCTTGAATAGATGCATAGGAGAGAGAAACCGACTTGTACAATAGACGTTGGTACTAGGACCCAACCTCTGTTCAGTGCCTTTCCAATGAAAAAGAGTAGGACTTTGGTGGGGGAGAACTCACGTCAGGATGAAAGAACAGTTCGCCAAGATCCACCGCGCGAGGTTCGGGTCGTTCGCGCCGCCCTTGACGTTTGCGGCTGCGAAACTGTAGACTTGGAATGTACCGCCGACTGCGCGAGTCGGGTTGAGCACGAACGACGGACGGGGATTGCGGCGACGAAGACGAACTAACCTAAGAGACCAACGAGGGAGAGTATGGGGAGAACGACGACCATGATGTGTCGATTCCAGACCATCCATAGTCTGTATATCTGGGAGGATCGGTCAGAAGCGCTGCGGGTTGAAAAATGTCGAGCATAAAGCGTACCAAGACGATGTCGACAGTGATCAGCGTGGCGATCAGAAACGCGGTCTGAACGGCCTCGGCGTGCTGTCCCGCGTACGTATAATAGTATTGTGGCTCCCGGCCGCCCTCGTAGATCGCAAACGCGTGAAAGAAGATGTATACCGTCATAATCCAGTGCTATGCATCATCGTGATCATCCGCTCAGCTCATCGCTCGCGCCTTTGGAACAGGGAGAACTCACCGCGGTCGCAAACGTGAATATCCACCCGGACGCGAACAGCAGCAGCCCCAGCCTCTTTTCTGTTTTCGTGCTTTGCAGCCCGCCGTGCGCGGTCTCGCGCCGGCGCGCGAGGAGGTAGTACGTCGACGCGATCGAGAGGAGGAGGAAGAGTCCCCAGAGCGCGCTCGCGAGCGGGAGAGAGGCGATGACGCAGTTGATGAAGGAGGGCTGCCAGATCATTATTTGTATCGTGAGCCTCCTTGAATGTAATCAGAACCGAGTCCTGCAGGTGCGCCAGCGGTCAAAGACAGCGGATATACGCAAGAGGGCGCATGGGTAATATAGGAATCGCGGAATACAAGGACGACCTTGGGCGTTTCGCGGGAGACGCAATGTGCATCGCCATCCTGTATACTATGGTAGACGGGAAGCACGAGGCGGGCCTGATCTGGGGGTGGGTCCCGAGAACGTTCCCGGCTGACTTCTATCATGATCAGTGGGAACTTGGGCGCTTAGGATGAGAATAAGGCGTGTCTTGTGATAGGAGGTTGGCGGGCGGGAAGAAGATAAAGGTCGAAGGTATTCTCGAGTAGAGGGTGGGGATTGCATACGAAACAAGTCGTGTCTTGGCTGAAGGCTCCGGAGATTGCGAGGCAGGAGGGTGAAGCGAATAATCGCTAAAAGGACGTCGACCATCGCAGACGTGTGGGGCTGAGTAATGGAAAATCACCAAGATGCTGTATAGATTGTAATCAATTCTCAAGACACTGCTGTGGTTCTTTCTTTTATGTTGTAAAGACAGGTCTAGGCTCGTGGTATAAGTTAGCCGATGCTGTGCGGCTAGGTCCCCGAGATGTTGAGCGGCGGCGGCCACTCATTAGTGCTGGCGCTGAAGCTGTGAGCTGACGATGAAGTATGGTTTGAGCATGGATTGTTTCTTGCTTATACCTCCGTGGTAAAGTTAGCGGGAGAGTGAAGGCCGGGTTTAGGGCTGGCGCGTCGCATGCGGCAAGGATAGGGGCTAATTGGCCAATAAGAGAGACAAATGACGCGGCTTATTTTCCGGGATTAGTCACACTCTGCACTTACCCATTTCTTAGTTTTCGGAGAGTTGTTGTTGTTGGCCAACTTGTGCTGGCTTCAGACTTTGACTGCAACTAAAGGGATGGCGTGGGCTGCTGCTCTCCGCGGCCTCACCGCCCTACACACAACGCGCAGATTCGCCGCTGTCACTGCACGGACCACCCCAGCTGTCGGCGCACGGCTGCTGTCGACGTCACTCGCCGCACGCGCACGACCATCCAGCCTCGTCCACTCCCCCCGCTGGACGAACAAGTCTTCCGACCGCGAACATGACGGGGAGAACGAAGACGACCACGACGGCGACCACCCGTCCGACGACAAACGTGTCCCCGTAGACGGCCAGGAAGACGGCACACCACCCTCCGCTCCGTCCTCCTCTTCCTCCTCCGCTTCCTCTGCCCCATCCTCCCCTGGCTCTCCTCCTGACTCTGACTCCCCCGGTTCCTCCGACCCTTCCGACCCCCCTCCACCCACCCAGCCCCCCTCCAACTCGTCCATCGCGAAGCAGTCCGTCCCCGAAATCTACCCCCAGGTCCTCGCCCTCCCCATCGCCCGCCGCCCGCTCTTCCCCGGCTTCTACAAAGCCGTCGTCGTGCGCAACCCCGCCGTCGTCCGCGCCATCAAGGACGCCATGAAGCGCGGCCAGCCCTACCTCGGCGCCTTCCTCCTCAAGGACGAGCACACAGACGCGGACGTCATCACCGACCTCGACGCCGTCCACCCCGTCGGCGTCTTCGCGCAAATCACATCGGTCTTTTCGGCAGGCTCGGGCTCCGCTGCGGGCTCCGCTTCTGGTTCTGGTAACGCGGCTTCCGGTGCCCCTGGTGCAGAGGAGGAGGAAGGCCTGACGGCTGTGTTGTACCCGCACAGGAGGATTCGGATTACGGAGCTCATCAAGCCTGGCGGCGAAGGCCCGGCGATGGCCAAGATTGACGAGGCGAGTGAGCCTCAGACTGTCACGCCCCCGCCGACGCCTCCTCCGTCCGAGCCCGAGTCCAAAGTTCCGCCTGGTACGTCACCCTTATCGCCGCCCGCCCGCACACTTCTGACTAAGATGATTATCAACAGGTCCCCCGCAAACGTCCTTTTTGCACTCGCACGCCGTGAGCGTCGTGGCCGTCGAGAACCTGCCGACGGCGCCGTACAACAAGGACGACCAGTACATCCGCGCGTTCATGTCCGAGCTCGTGTCCGTGTTCAAGGACATCGCGCAGCTGAACCCGCTCTTCCGCGACCAGATCACCAACTTCTCGATCCACCAGTCCGCCGCGAACGTGTTCGACGAGCCCGACAGGCTCGCGGACTTTGCCGCCGCGGTGTCGAGCGGCGGCGTGCAGGAGCTGCAGGAGGTGCTCGAGGCGACGCAGGTCGAGGAGCGGCTGCGCCGCGCGCTGCTTGTGCTCAAGAAGGAGCTGATCAATGCGCAGCTGCAGAGCAAGCTCGCGCGCGACGTGGACAGCAAGATCGCGAAGCGGCAGCGCGAGTATTACCTTATGGAGCAGCTCAAGGGCATCAAGCGCGAGCTCGGGATGGAGACGGACGGGAAAGATAGGCTGTTAGAGAAATTCCGCGAGCGCGCGGCGGCGCTGAAGATGCCCGAGGGCGTGCGCAAGGTGTTCGACGAGGAGCTGGGGAAGCTCGCGCATCTGGAGCCGGCGGCGAGCGAGGCGAACGTGACGAGGAATTATCTGGACTGGCTCACGCAGATCCCGTGGGGCACGCATTCGCCGGAGAACTTTAGTCTGCGGCACGCGCAGGGTGTGCTCGATGCGGACCACTATGGGCTCAAGGACGTCAAGGAGCGCATTCTCGAGTTTTTGGCGGTCGGCAAGCTGCGCGGCAGTGTGCAGGGCAAGATCATTCTGCTCTCGGGCCCGCCGGGCGTCGGCAAGACGTCTATTGGCAAGTCGATCGCGCGGGCGCTCGGGCGGCAGTTTTTCAGGTTCAGTGTGGGCGGGCTGACGGACGTGGCGGAGATCAAGGGCCACCGGCGGACGTATGTCGGTGCGCTGCCGGGCAAGATTATTCAGGCGCTCAAGCGCGTGGGCACGGAGAACCCGCTTGTGCTCATTGACGAGGTGGATAAGATCGGGCGGGGGCATAATGGGGATCCGGCGAGTGCGCTGCTGGAGATGCTTGATCCGGAGCAGAATAGCGCGTTTTTGGATCATTAGTGCGTTTCTCTTTTTGGTTGTGGTTTTATAACTGCCCGTGGACTGACGGGTGGTGATTGGGTAGTATGGACGTTCCCGTTGACCTCTCGCGCGTTTTGTTCGTCTGCACGGCTAACAACCTCGACACGATTCCTGCGCCGCTTTTGGACCGGATGGAGGTTCTCGAGGTGTCTGGATACGTGTCAGAGGAGAAGGTGGCCATCGCGCAGCGCTATCTCGCGCCGCAGGCCAAGGAGGCGTCCGGTCTCAAGGACGCGGATGTGGAGATCGACAGGGAGGCGGTTGATGTGCTTATCAAGTGGTATTGTCGCGAGAGCGGGGTGCGGGGGCTCAAGAAGCAGATTGAGAAGGTGTGTTTTTGACATTGTTTAATGGCTTGGTAGCGGTGCGCTGATGCGCTGATGGGTAGATTTACCGCAAGGCTGCGCTTAAGCTTGTTGATGATATCGGCGAGGAGACGCTCCCTGAGCCGTCTGCGCCTGCGCACGCGGTGACTTCGGCGACTGCCAAGACTGAGGAGGGTGCTACGGGCACAGTCGAGAGCCAGGAGCCGCCCGCGAACGAGCCCAACGCCGCTCCGGAGTCTTCGACCTCGACTCCCTCTGAGACCGCGTCAGCCGAATCATCGACGTCCACGCCCTCGGAAGGTGCCGCAACGCAGGAAGATGGGTCTAGCTCAGGCGAAAGCGGAGAAGAGGGCGATCGCAAGGCGGTGACGACGCAGGAGCGCCAGCCGCTGAAGCTCCCGCCGGACGTGCACGTCCGCGTCACGCCCGAGACGCTCAAGGACTACGTCGGTCCGCCGCTGTATTACCGCGACAGGATGTACACGCGTGCGCCGCCGCCGGGTGTGTCTACTGGTCTTGGGTTCCTCGGGAATGGGAGCGGGGCTGTTATGCCTATTGAGGCTACGGTGCGTTGCTCCATCCTGGACCGTTTGCTTTTCCCTCCCGTGCTAATGCGAATATCGTTTGTGTGTGTGCGCAGGCGATGCCCGGCAAAGGCAACCTGCAGCTGACGGGGAAGCTGGGCGAGGTGATCCGGGAGAGCGCGCAGATTGCGCTGTCGTGGGTGAAGGCGCACGGGTACGAGCTGGGGATCACGAAGACGCGCGAGGAGGCGTTTATCGGGGAGCGCGATATCCATGTGCATATGCCCGAGGGGTCGATTGGGAAGGAGGGCCCGAGCGCGGGGACGGCGCTGTTGAGCGCGTTTGTGAGTTTGTTTACGAGGACGCGGGTGCATCCGGACATTGGTGCGTTTTTTTCCCAGTTTGTGGTCTTTGCTGTGTATTCGGTGGGCTGAGACTTGGCGCGGTTGAATAGCGATGACGGGCGAGATCTCGCTCGTGGGCCAGGTGCTCCCCGTCGGCGGGCTCAAGGAGAAGATTCTGGCTGCGCACCGTGCGGGGATCAAGACGCTGCTCGCGCCCGCTGCGAATCGGGCGGATATAGAGGAGAATGTGCCGGCGAGTGTGAAGGAGGGGATCCGGTTCGTGTATGTCGAGGAGGTGCGCGAGGTGCTCGAGGAGGTGTTTAAGGGCACTGAGCTGGCGGAGAGGATCAAGGAGACGTTGAAGGATTGAGTGTTGATTGTCTCTCTGGCTCCGGCTCCGGCTCCGGCTCTGGCTCTGGCTCTGGTTGTGGGGAGGAAGTGAAGTGAGTATCTTATGCAATGGATTATTTAGAAGGCGGGCTCGGGTGTCCGGCCTCGAGAAGGAGCGGCGGTGGTGGTAGATGTTGCGGTGTCACTCTTGCTTTCGTACAGCACGCATACTTAGGCATTTCATTCGGTCAGTTCTCAGCTATAGAATTCCTCGCACAGTACTTCCTTTTCTTTCTCTTTTCACAAAGCAAACGTTGTTAACGTATCTCGCATACATCCTTTTCTCGTCCGCTCTCTATTTCGTGCGTAGAGGAGGTTACTGTATCATATAACTCGCACACGTATTACTCACCAGCTCAGATCATTGCATGTTTTTACTGTGCTGTGCCGAGTGAGGCAGGATTCCGTGTGGACTGGCGACAGTTGGACGCTAAGAAGCGATTTGTAGTATGTATCGGCGGTTTCGTTGGTCACCGGGATGGGGGCCAAATTCCCTTTCACGTGTTCTTGTGTGTGGAAACCTGTCACGATGTCCAGTGAGTGAGTCATATCTTTGGAGCCTTTCATTGAGGACTGACCGGACTTGAGACTGACTCATTATGAGCGTCCTTGATCTCTAGCTCCCGAGTCGCGAGATATGAAGTGCGGATGATGGAGTTCGAATTAACAGCTTGTTAGCTTATGTTAGTAACTTTGCGTGCGGAGCGGCGGCGGCGATGACCTCAAGTTGCTAGTGCTCGGTTTTCGGACTAGGTTCATAGGGGTTTTCAGGCTAAGGCTAATCGCCTTCCTTATACTCCGGGTGAAGGCTTAGTACGGGCAGGTAAGTTACGAATATTGTATAGTCCTAGTGCTTTAACACGTCCCACCAACCAAGCGATATCTGTGCTGCATGCCCCAAAATTTCATTCGTTCAGACTCCATTGCTTATATGACCGCGCTGTGCACCTCGATGGATCTTAGTCTAGCCGACGTTGGTCGACACTACTGCTCTTTTGCTTATAAAATTGTTCCGCTGATTCATCGATGCACAATTCACAGGACACCGGCATCTTTCTTGGGCGGGAAAATGCTATGTACTTAACGAGGGTTCGATATCCTTCGTACGGTATATATAAGCCCTCTAATCACGCTCAGTCTAACCCCACGCTGCCATAGGCTCTACCATGATGCATGAATTTCGCAATCTCAGCTGCAGTTGCTATTCTAGCAGTGGTGCTTACCATCGCACTCCGCACTCGCCGCAGGCTGCGGGAGAAAGGCTTTCCGCCAGGGCCGGATCCGCTCCCACTTCTAGGCAATGTTCACCAAGTTAATTCCACATGTCCGAGGCTCACATTCACGGAGTGGAAGCGCGTATACGGTATCGTACCCTGGCTCTGAATTGGCATTCAACTCAGCTCATCATCTCATCAGGGGATATCGTTTACTGCAGCATGCTAGGCAGAGAATTTGTGATCGTCAACTCGGAGAAAGTGGCGGAGGACCTGATGGATAAACGCTCGCGAAACTACTCAAACAGGATGGACATGTCGCATCTGTTTGAATCGTGAGTGTGTCGATTATTTCTACCTATGAATTCCAAGAGATTCTGAACAGTAATGCCGCAGGTATGGGTTAATTTCCGATACCGTCAGCTTGAATCATGACGACTTATGGCGAGCACATCGACGTGTTCTCCAGCAAACATTACGCCCAGAAGCTCTCGTTGTCTACCGGCACACACAACTCCGTTGCGCAGCGACTCTGCTGCAAAATTTGCATGATACCCCATCATCGTGGTGGGGACATATTCGCACGTCCGTTCATAAACCTTTGTGAATCCGTTTTGGTTTTGGCTCACACGAGTAAAATCTAGATTCTCAGCTGCCACCATCATGGGAGCTATGTATGACCACGACCTTCCCGCAGATCCCAAAGACGACAAAGCGTTCTGCACCGTGGTTGAAGGAAAAGATCTCAAAGTCCATCTTGGCTCCCTAGGGATGATTTCCCTTCTTACCGTGTTTCCTATGCGTAAGCTGTCACACACTTCCGTCGTAAAGTTAACTCAATGAAGTTTTAATGGCACATCCACCACCAGTGAAATATGTGCCTACGTGGTTTCCAGTCGGACGCTATATGAACGCTGCAAAATTTGTTCGAGCTATGGACGAGATGATCGAGACGCCTTATGACATACTACAAAAACGAACAGTGAGTAGCTTCATGACATCATACTAGCTGTCACCTTCGAAGTTGAACTTCATCATACCTACCTTCAGGCTACTGGAGAAGCAAGGCCTTGTGTGATATCCGAAGCGCTATCTAAATTTCAAGATGATTCCAAGTTGGACAACGTTGAGCAAGTCATCAAACATGCTTGTGGTACGGCATACTCTGGTCAGTACACTGCAAAGTCAATATCATGTGTCCAAACTGACTAAGGTCTCCATCGAAAGCTGGAGAAGAGACGGTTGGTACAAGTAAACCGCTTGCTTCCTTGTCACTGACCGAGTCGTACGGTGTTTAGACAGGTTCTACATTGATTATCTTCATTCTCGCCATGGTTCTTCACCCCAATATCCAAACACTAGCTCAAGAAGAGATAGACATGGTTGTAGGGACAGACAACCTTCCCAGCTACAACGACAAGCCGGCGTTGCCTTACCTCGAAGCTCTATTGCGGGAAACACTAAGGTGGAGGCCTGTTGCCCCTCTTGGTACGTGTACCACACCACATCTTGTTTCTAGCTCTTTCAGCGTTGGGTTGAGTTAGCTCATAGGAATACCGCATGCTGCAAATGACGAGGATGTGTATGAAGGCTATCGTATTCCCAAGGGTAATTCTTTGAGTATTATTGTATAGATATATCTTCTAATAACTGCATGCAGGAGCCGTCATCATTCCCAATATTTGGTGCGTCCCAGTATCGGGAATCACACATTAACCGTGCCAATCAAAGATTAGGGCTATGGCTCAAGACAAGGATAAGTACCCCGACCCGGATACCTTTGATCCCAGTCGATTCTTCGACTCCGACGGACAGCTTACGAACGATACATGCGAATTTGTGTTCGGCTTCGGACGCCGCGTTTGTCCCGGAAGGCACTTTGCGCAAGCGTCAATTTGGATAGCAATGGCGCACATTCTCGCAACTTTTACTATCGAGCGAGCGAAAGATACCTCTGGAGAGCCAACCGAGCCAGCTCCAGATTGGGCAGAAGGGGTGACGTGGTGAGTTGCAAGGTCAGTAATTAATCCTAGATGCCGTATTGATGTTTGGGTCTCTTGTGATAGGCACCCCAAACCTTTCCCATGCAGCTTTGTCCCTAGGAAAAGTGAAGATGGTAGCGCATATTAGTCCACTATTGGAAGTACTATCGAGTTATATTTTTTTGCATAGACTATGAAATTTGAGGACATTTATACACTGGCGGTGCGGCGATGATAGCAAGCGAAATACTACGATTTGGCGGAAACAAAACAAGCGATAGATTATTGTAATACTTGGTTTCGGCATTCGTTTTTCATTGCATTGTGATATTTTGTGGACTTACACTTGGGTCACAGTGACCCGAGAGTTGTCAGAAAGGGTGCATTGCGAGAATAGGGACGGAGACACAAACGGAGATGCTGGCATCCCCTGGGAATGCGACCTTGTATTTTCCCACATCACTGCTTGTTCTTCTCCACGACACATATTACATCGAACACCACACAGCTTCAGTGACACTATAGCCCAAGAATTGCTCAGCACTTTCAGCATCAGATAGCCGAGAGAGTCGTGAGTATGTTGGCGGCTCTATCTACTGCTGTTAGAGATATCCGTCACCGGAGTCTCAAGGATCCGTTAACCAGCCGGCTATCTATAAACGAATCATATTGACCTCCCTCTTTGTCTTTCACCGTTCTCTGGCGCACAATTAGGTGGGTGAACTTCTCTCCCTTCTATGACCACCACACAGGGTGCATTTTAGGATAACTAGTGACAAGTTATGTAAAACTTATCTTTAGATTAGTCCGAACATGTTGACCAAAAATGGTCTAAGTCATTCGACAGATATTGTAAACCTATCGAATTAGTGTCTACAAAACATCGGTCCCACTTACGGTGAATTTATTCTAAAAGAATTGTTAAAGTGGTTTATGCTAAATTCTGGATGAATCAAAGCAGTTATGTAAATGTTATTCAAGACTTTTTGTGCACATATGATGAGTGGTAGTTTAATTAGATGATTGATACCTTTAGCATATGTTTTAGCAAAATCTAACATATCTGCTAATATGTAATCTTAAAATAACATTACAGTATCTGCTGAATCTAAAACTAATCCGAAAATCTTATTTGAAACACATTGGGAAAATATTAATTACCTAAATACCAGTGGAAGTGAGGGCTCAGGCGTCATTAACACAACATACGAGGGAGGAGTTTTAGGACGAGAAGGCAGTAGATCATCTCG